TCGGCTGCTGCTGCTGCACCACAGTCGGCTGCTGCTGCTGCACCACAGTCGGCTGCTGCTGCTGCACCACAGTCGGCTGCTGCTGCTGCACCACAGTCGGCTGCTGCTGCTGCACCACAGTCGGCTGCTGCTGCTGCACCACAGTCGGCTGCTGCTGCTGCACCACAGTCGGCTGCTGCTGCTGCACCACAGTCGGCTGCTGCTGCTGCACCACAGTCGGCTGCTGCGTCTGCTTGCACCACAGTCGGCTGCTGCTGCTGCACCACAGTCGGCTGCTGCTGCTGCACCACAGTCGGCTGCTGCTGCTGCACCACAGTCGGCTGCTGCTGCTGCACCACAGTCGGCTGCTGCTGCTGCACCACAGTCGGCTGCTGCTGCTGCTGCACCACAGTCGGCTGCTGCTGCTGCACCACAGTCGGCTGCTGCTGCTGCACCACAGTCGGCTGCTGCTGCTGCTGCACCACAGTCGGCTGCTGCTGCTGCACCACAGTCGGCTGCTGCTGCTGCACCACAGTCGGCTGCTGCTGCTGCACCACAGTCGGCTGCTGCTGCTGCACCACAGTCGGCTGCTGCTGCTGCACCACAGTCGGCTGCTGCTGCTGCACCACAGTCGGCTGCTGCTGTCTGCACCACAGTCGGCTGCTGCTGCTGCACCACAGTCGGCTGCTGCTGCTGCTCCTGCACCACAGTCGGCTGCTGCTGCTGCTCCTGCACCACAGTCGGCTGCTGCTGCTGCTCCTGCACCACAGTCGGCTGCTGCTGCTGCTGCACCACAGTCAGCTGCTGCTGCACCACAGTCTGCTGCTGCTGCACCACAGTCAGCTGCTGCTGCTGCTGCTGCACCACAGTCGGCAGCTGCTGCTGCACCACAGTCGGCAGCTGCTGCTGCACCACAGTCGGCAGCTGCTGCTGCACCACAGTCGGCAGCTGCTGCTGCACCACAGTCGGCTGCTGCACCACAGTCGGCTGCTGCACCACAGTCGGCTGCTGCACCACAGTCGGGCTGCGCACCACAGTCGGCTGCTGCACCACAGTCTGCTGCTGCACCACAGTCTGCTGCTGCACCACAGTCTGCTGCTGCACCACAGTCTGCTGCTGCACCACAGTCTGCTGCTGCTGAACCACAGTCTGCTGCTGCTGCACCACAGTCTGCTGCTGCTGCACCACAGTCAGCTGCTGCTGCTGCTGCTGCACCACAGTCAGCTGCTGCTGCTGCCACCACAGTCGGCAGCTGCTGCTGCATACCACAGTCGGCAGCTGCTGCTGCACCACAGTCGGCAGCTGCTGCTGCACCACAGTCGGCAGCTGCTGCTGCACCACAGTCGGCAGCTGCTGCTGCACCACAGTCGGCAGCTGCTGCTGCACCACAGTCGGCTGCTGCTGCTGCACCACAGTCGGCTGCTGCTGCACCACAGTCAGCTGCTGCTGCTGCTGCTGCACCACAGTCGGCAGCTGCTGCTGCACCACAGTCGGCAGCTGCTGCTGCACCACAGTCGGCAGCTGCTGCTGCACCACAGTCGGCAGCTGCTGCTGCACCACAGTCGGCAGCTGCTGCTGCACCACAGTCGGCTGCTGCACCACAGTCGGCTGCTGCACCACAGTCGGCTGCTGCACCACAGTCGGCTGCTGCACCACAGTCGGCTGCTGCACCACAGTCTGCTGCTGCACCACAGTCTGCTGCTGCACCACAGTCTGCTGCTGCACCACAGTCTGCTGCTGCACCACAGTCAGCTGCTGCTGCACCACAGTCTGCTGCTGCTGCAACCACAGTCAGCTGCTGCTGCTGCTGCTGCACCACAGTCAGCTGCTGCTGCTGCACCACAGTCGGCAGCTGCTGCTGCACCACAGTCGGCAGCTGCTGCTGCACCACAGTCGGCAGCTGCTGCTGCACCACAGTCGGCAGCTGCTGCTGCACCACAGTCGGCTGCTGCTGCTGCAACCACAGTCGCTGCTGCTGCTGCACCACAGTCGCTGCTGCTGCTGCACCACAGTCGTGCTGCGCACCACAGTCGGCTGCTGCACCACAGTCGGCTGCTGCACCACAGTCGGCTGCTGCACCACAGTCGGCTGCTGCACCACAGTCTGCTGCTGCACCACAGTCTGCTGCTGCACCACAGTCTGCTGCTGCACCACAGTCTGCTGCTGCACCACAGTCTGCTGCTGCACCACAGTCTGCTGCTGCCACCACAGTCTGCTGCTGCTGCTGCACCACCACAGTCAGCTGCTGCTGCACCATCATCTGTTGCTGCACCAGTCAGCTGTTGTTGAACACAGTCAGCTGCTGCTGCACCACAGTCAGCTGCTGCTGCTGCTGCACCACAGTCAGCTGCTGCTGCTGCTGCACCACAGTCAGCTGCTGCTGCTGCACCACAGTCAGCTGCTGCTGCTGCACCACAGTCAGCTGCTGCTGCTGCTGCTGCTGCTGCTGCACCACAGTCAGCTGCTGCTGCACCAGTCAGCTGTTGCTGAACCACAGTGAGGTGCTGTTGCACCACAGCTGCTGTTGCACCAGTCAGCTGCTGTTGCACCACAAGTCAGCTGCTGCTACACCACCGTCATCTGCTGCTGCACCAGTCAGCTGTTGCTGAACCACGGTGAGGTGCTGTTGCACCACAGTCAGCTGCTGTTGCACCACAGTCAGCTGCTGTTGCACCACAGTCAGCTGCTGCCAAACCACCGTCATCTGCTGCCGAACCACGGTCATCTGCTGCCGCACCACGGTCAGCTGCTGCCGCACCACGGTCAGCTGCTGCCGCACCACGGTCAGCTGTTGCCACACCACGGTCAGCTGTTGCCGCACCACGGTCAGCTGTTGCCGCACCACGCGTCTGTTGCCGCACCACGGTCCAGCTGTTGGCCGCAACCACGGTCAGCTGTTGCCGCACCACGGTCAGCTGTTGCCGCACCACGGTCAGCTGTTTCCGCACCACGGTCAGCTGTTGCCGCCCACGTCAGCTGTTGCCGCACCACGGTCACTGTTGCCGCACCACGGTCAGCTGTTGCCGCACCACGGTCAGCTGTTGCCGCACCACGGTCAGCTGTTGCCGCACCACGGTCAGCTGTTGCCGCACCACGGTCAGCTGTTGCCGCACCACGGTCAGCTGTTGCCGCACCACGGTCAGCTGTTGCCGCACCACGGTCAGCTGTTGCCGCACCACGGTCAGCTGTTGCCGCACCACGGTCAGCTGTTGCCGCACCACGGTCTGCTGTTGCCGCACCACGGTCTGCTGTATGCCGCACACGGTCACTGTTGCCGCACCACGGTCAGCTGTTGCCGCACACGGTGCATGTGTGCCGCACCACGGTCAGCTGTTGCCGCACCACGGTCAGCTGTTGCCGCACCACGGTCAGCTGTTGCCGCACCACGGTCAGCTGTTGCCGCACCACGGTCAGCTGTTGCCGCACCACGGTCAGCTGTTGCCGCACCACGGTCAGCTGTTGCCGCACCACGGTCAGCTGTTGCCGCACCACGGTCAGCTGGTCCTAGTAGCATTAAAAGAAGGGAAGTAACCCCAGAAAAGGACGTGCTACCTAAAGTCCTAATGGAAGGGGATTCCCCTTCTAAACATTAACAACTTCCATACTATCCCCTCCTCCCATCCCATCAATCATCACCAGATCTTCAATAAAGGAAAGTGTCAGTTTGTGTGTATTAAAATTAATATTTCTGTAATTTTTTTTTTTTCATACTTTGTGATGTCTTGCATGGATTAATTTGATTTCCATTATTTCTTATGGGGAAAATTAATTCGCCTTACAATAATTTCGGCATACGATGAGCTCTCGGGAACGGATTAATATCGTATGCCGGGGATCCACTGTATATATTATATATATAATTTTTTTTTTTTTTTTTTTTTTCAACAAGTCGGTCGTCTCCCACATTTATAATTACCATATTTATCTTTACCGTATTTACTTTTTTTTATTAACACATTGGCCATCTCTCGCTAAAAGGTGGTGGCCCAAAAAAGAAAAGCTTTCGTCATTCACTGTCACTCTTGCCAGAGGTGCACTTACACTACAGTTATAAAACTGCAACATTAACACCCCTCCTTCAGAATTCAGACACTGTATTTCCCATCTCCAGGACTCGAGTCCAGCCTGCCAGTTTCCTTGAATCTCCTCATAAATGTTACCTTGCTCACACTCCAACAGCACATAAAGTCCTAAAAACCATTTGTCTCCATTCGCTCTTATCTAACATGCTCCTGCATGTTGGAAGTCCAAGCCCCTCGCATACAAAACCTCCTTTATCCCCTCCCTCCAACCTTTCCTAGGCCTACCCCTACCCCACCTTCCCTCCACTACAGATTTATAAACACTCATTCTATTTTGTTCCAGCCTCTCTACATGACCTAACTACCACAACCCCTCCTCAGCCCTCTGGATAATAGTTTTGGTAATCCTGCACCTCCTTCTAATTTCCAAACTACGAATTCTCTGCATTATATTCGCACCACACATTGCCCTCAGACATAACATCTCCACTGCCTCCAGCCTTCTCCTTGTAGCAACATTCACCACCCATGTTTCACACCTACATAAGAGTGTTGGTGTAACTATACTCTCATACATTACCCCTCTTTGCTTCCTTGGACAAAATTTTGTCTCCACAGGCTCTTAAGTGCACCACTCTCCTTTTTCTCATCAATTCTGATTCACCTCGTCTTTCATAGACCCATCTGCTGACACGTCCCCTCCTGAATATCTGATGAATACATTCACCTCCTCCATACTTTTCTCTCCAATCTGATATCCAATCTTTCATCACCTAAGATTTTTATCCTCATCACCTTACTCTTTCCTATATTCACTTTTTCTTCTTTTACACACCCTACCAAACTTATCCACCAACCTCTGCCACTTCTCTTCAGAATTTCCCAAAAAGCACAGTGTCAGCAGCAAAGAGCAAATGTGACAACTCCCACTTTGTATTTATCTTTACTGTATCTTTACAAAAGTCCTATTAAATTAATAAAATAAAATTTCCTCAACAGGGTTTGAAATCCCAGATGGCGATGCAGAAAAGCTTTTACGGCCGGCAGATATCATAAGATACGTAGCAGACAAAGAAGACATTTATGATTAAAATCCCAGTGTGTGTGTGGTTTAAAATATTGGACCGAGTGTCACTTTCAGGCTAAAATCCTGTGTATGGTAGTAGCAGGGCGAAGACCTTGGGAATTTTAGCCAAACTCGTGTGGTGATCAGGTGTTTGAACGAGATGTGCACGGAGATGTATATACTGTAATTCTGCCTAAGAAAAAACCATAAATGAAAATGAAGTGAAATTCAAAACTTTATTCTCATTTTCATTTTGGTCAAACAGGAATAATTTGCTACTGGTTTAGTTTATTATTTAGACCAAATTTTTACCAAGCACTTGTAATTAAATATGTACAGATGCTAAATAAATAATCTTTTTTGTTTATAGTGTTTAGTGATAAATGTTCACAACCTATTATAAAAAAAAGTTATTGGAAAATGCTATAAACATAAATTATTCAGCATTACAGGTAAGGGGTAAAGGTGTCAAGAGTTAAAATGCAGAAATGAAGGGGATTTTACAAAGCTCTTATGATACTTTCTTAGATAATTATATCCTTAGTACTCTCTTCCCTTTAGGGAAGGTTCCTTGGTGCTGGCAAGAGGCTCTTGCTTTAAGCAATTGAACCTGCCCCTCTTGCCTTGAATCAGACCTGAATGCCTCTCATTTCCCCCTGATGCTCTGATTCTTAGATTTAATGCTCCCATCAAAATTAATAATCCAAATTAGGGACATAACCCCCCTCCCCCCCACACACACACACACACACACACACACACACACACAAAGGGAGGTTCCTTGAACTCCAAAGCTTTTGATCCATGGAACTGGACTTGTCACTCGTAAATGGATCAAACCTGAATGCCTCAATTCCCCAAAGCAGTATATAAGCTCTATAGGTTAAACACTCATCCCGTGAAATATAAATATAAGGATAATCGTGGAATGCATATTAACGACACTAGTACAGAATAAATGTCAGGGTACTGGAAGAGGAGGACAAGTTTCTAAACTAAACACAAGCCATTGAAGTGACCTGGCTGACAGTTCTTGTAGGGTTCCTCTTTCAACGTAGGGTTCCTCTTTCAACGTGGGGGCTGAAGAGACTTTGATGCTATGGAAGGCCTTTTAATCTATGGAATTGGAGTTATCGTCCTCCTCCATAGATGAAACTGGATTACCTCCCATTCCTCCTGTTCCTTATGGGCTGAGCACTTACCATGAATATATGAAGCATATTGGGCATTTTAAGTAAAATTGGCTTGTGCCTTGTAGATAACCAACTAATTCAAACTGTGGTAGGATGTCCAGTACTAAATGATGCATGGATTACTTTTGTGATGTGTTCATTATTCCTTCCTTTGACCTATATTATTATAATAAAAAAGAATTTTGGAGTGAGTTAAACAAGTTAAGAAAGCCTAGGGAAAATATGGATTTGTCAGTTAAAAACAGAGTAGGGGAGTTAGTAGATGGGGAGATGGAGGTATTGGGTAGATGGCGAGAATATTTTGAGGAACTTTTAAATGTTAAGGAAGAAACAGAGGCAGTAATTTCATGCACTGGTCAGGGAGGTATACCATCTTTTAGGAGTGAAGAAGAGCAGAATGTAAGTGTGGGGGAGGTACGTGAGGCATTACGTAAAATGAAAGGGGGTAAAGCAGCTGGAACTGATGGGATCATGACAGAAATGTTAAAAGCAGGGGGGGATATAGTGTTGGGTGGTTGGTACTTTTGTTTAATAAATGTATGAAAGAGGGGAAGGGACCTAGGGATTGGCAGAGCATGTATAGTCCCTTTATATAAAGGGAAAGGGACAAAAGAGACTGTAAAAATTATAGAGAATAAGCTTACTGAGTATACCAGGAAAAGTGTACGGTAGGGTTATAATTGAAAGAATTAGAGGTAAGACAGAATGTAGGATTGCGGATGAGCAAGGAGGTTTTAGAGTGGGTAGGGGATGTGTAGATCAGGTGTTTACATTGAAGCATATATGTGAACAGTATTTAGATAAAGATAGGGAAGTTTTTATTGCATTTATGGATTTAGAAAGGCATTATGATAGAGTGGATAGAGGAGCAATGTGGCAGATGTTGCAAGTTATGGAATAGGTGGTAAGTTACTAAATGCTGTAAAGAGCTTTTATGAGGATAGTGAGGCTCAGGTTAGGGTGTGTAGAAGAGAGGGAGACTACTTCCCGGTAAAAGTAGGTCTTAGACAGGGATGTGTAATGTCACCATGGTTGTTTTATTATATTTATAGATGGGGTTGTTAAGGAAGTTAAATGCTAGGGTGTTTGGGAGAGGGTGGGATTAAATTATGTGGAATCAAATTCAAAATGGGAATTGACACAGTTACTTTTTGCTGATGATACTGTGCTTATGGGAGATTCTAAAGAAAAATTGCAAAGGTTGTGGATGAGTTTGGGAATGTGTGTAAAGGTAGAAAGTTGAAAGTGAACATAGAAAAAAGTAAGGTGATGAGGGTGTCAAATGATTTAGATAAAGAAAAATTGGATATCAAATTGGGGAGGAGGAGTATGGAAGAAGTGAATGTTTTCAGATAAATTGGGAGTTGACGTGTCGGCGGATGGATTTATGAAGGATGAGGTTAATCATAGAATTGATGAGGGAAAAAAGGTGAGTGGTGCGTTGAGGTATATGTGGAGTCAAAAAACGTTATCTATGGAGGCAAAGAAGGGAATGTATGAAAGTATAGTAGTACCAACACTCTTATATGGGTGTGAAGCTTGGGTGGTAAATGCAGCAGCGAGGAGACGGTTGGAGGCAGTGGAGATGTCCTGTTTAAGGGCAATGTGTGGTGTAAATATGCAGAAAATTCGGAGTGTGGAAATTAGGAGAAGGTGTGGAGTTAATAAAAGTATTAGTCAGAGGGCAGAAGAGGGGTTGTTGAGGTGGTTTGGTCATTTAGAGAGAATGGATCAAAGTAGAATGACATGGAAAGCATATAAATCTATAGGGGAAGGAAGGCGGGGTAGGGGTCGTCCTCGAAAGGGTTGGAGAGAGGGGGTAAAGGAGGTTTTGTGGGTAAGGGGCTTGGACTTCCAGCAAGCGTGCGTGAGCGTGTTAGATAGGAGTGAATGGAGACGAATGGTACTTGGGACCTGACGATCTGTTGGAGTGTGAGCAGGGTAATATTTAGTGAAGGGATTCAGGGAAACCGGTTATTTTCATATAGTCGGACTTGAGTCCTGGAAATGGGAAGTACAATGCCTGCACTTTAAAGGAGGGGTTTGGGATATTGGCAGTTTGGAGGGATATGTTGTGTATCTTTATATGTGTATGCTTCTAGACTGTTGTATTCTGAGCACCTCTGCAAAAACAGTGATAATGTGCGAGTGTGGTGAAAGTGTTGAATGATGATGAAAGTATTTTCTTTTTGGGGATTTTCTTTCTTTTTTGGGTCACCCTGCCTCGGTGGGAGACGGCCGACTTGTTGAAAAAAAAAAAAAAAAAAAAAAAAAGCTCTAAGCCACAAGGGCTATACAGCCCTTTGACCTATAAAGGACCCCTCAAGGAAGGTCCCTTTATGCTGGTGAGGGGCTTGATCTAGGGAATTGGATCTGTGCTCTAGTTCCCTGAATTAAACCTGAATACCTTCCATAGGCACTGTATAATCCTATGGGTTTACCTCTTCCCCCTCAATTATAATGACGACCTATAAAGGTAGTGTCATTAAGAGACTGTTGTCTAAAATTATCTGTACAGAAGAGAAAAGAGGTTTTGTTACATTATTTCACTCGTGGGTAGTGCCGAATCTGCAGGTGATGTTCAGCACCTTTGGAAATGGAAGGTAGTCAAATTCAACCAAAGAAAATGTAAGTTGGTTTCTCTAGGTTGAGCTCCACACCAGCATCGAGGAACCTACTTAGAAGGGTTGGGTGGCTACAGGGAAGGTGGGGAGAAAGTTGAATTATAATTAAAACCAAGTGCTAAACCCACAAGGTTTGGAGAAAGTTTGATTCAGAAAGGCAGATTAGAATGATCAGGTAATGGAGGTAAAATTGGATGAGATTTCATTTGCTTGGCTATTCTCAGGGTATATGTCAAACTTGGAGGCAGAGGACAACATTGAACACCTAGGAAGATGCAAGATGAGTGTGGGGAAGAGAATCTTTTGCCATTGCTAAAATAGGGATGTACAGTCACTGAGAGAACCTTAAGCAAATTGCACTTAACATGAAGCAAATAGGGTTGGATAAGAAATTAGTAATAGGGAAGGAAAAAACTGGTTGGAAGTAGATTTGACTGATTAACTAATTGAAAAGGATTAGTGAAGAACTCAAAATGGGAACATTGAAGAGGTTGAGGCATCTTAGACAGGTACCTGATAAGTGTTGCTATGGGGCTACATCAGAATACTTTTATTCATGGAATGAACTAAACCTTGGAAAATCAAAGGTAATGAAGTCTGATCCAAGGAAATATAGACTGGCTCAAATTCCTTGGATCAAGAGCCCCTCCCCAGCATTGGCACTCCTTCCCTCCCTTCGCATTCCCCCCGGAGGGAATACGTGGCTATAGTTATAGCCTGGTTATGACACCACCTTTCCTTTAAACATAATTTTGTATTTCCATTTGAAGACACAGGACTTGCAAGACTAGGAGTGGTGATTCTCGGAATGTTAAGACAGATGGAGATTGCTGGCAAGAATGATCATTATGATTTGCCTAGAAGAAAGGGTACTCTGCAACCGAATATTTTCCTGATGAAAACTACTAGTAGATATGACACTGTTGGAGAGATGTACACAGATCCATGACAATATCTGTGAACTAAATGTCATGAAGACAATGCACAACAGTCAAATGCAAGTTTGGCGATGTTCTTCTGGCAGCCCATTGATTGTATGTAGGCAAATATCTGTTAACAAAATTGTTTTAAGTTAAAAAAACAAAGATGATCATAGACAAAAGACTGATTGATCTTTCCAGTACAGTAATAGTTCTACTTTCAAAAACATCACTAACTGTATTTACTCAATACATCCAATATTTTGTAACTCATTGAAGAAGTGTATTATAGACTTTAGTAGCTATGTATTTTTATTTATATAAAATTTACAATATAAAAGTAAAGATTATAATTGAGAAAGTATGCTATGTATTAGGTAAAAAGTCAATTTACTATATCCGATTATGTATATATTTACATGATGCAAACTGTCACTGTAAGCTACTGTTGTATAGTACACAAACTAGGGTGAAAATGCAGAATTTGTCAATATTTTATGTGCCAGGTGATTATGCAGTTTTAGGCAATATTTTACATTTAAGTATTTCTGCATAATTACACATTTATTAACAAGGCATTTAAAGAAACAGAACTCTAGGTCAGCAGATCTCATTACAAGACAATAATTAAATATTATAAAACATCAATCCATTTATAAAATTTGGCAGATTTATCTGTCAGTAAGGTTAAATATTCATTTTGATTACTCCTCACTGGAAGTATATCTATTACTGTCTCTGGCACTCTGAGCTGCTGCATACAAGAAGCTAGTGATAAGTCCCACAAACATGTGCTTTGGTTGGACTCATCACTTGCACATACCACAACATTTTCCACCTGAACTGGGTTAACAAAAATACACGATCGGGAAAGGACTTTCTGAGTTGTTCCACCTTGGAAAGTGTGGATCAAGTTTACTGTGACAATTTGATTGATCACTGCTGCATCAGGACTAATGTTAACACTTTGAAGTTCACAAACAATATGCCTTGCATGAGGGTACTTTTGACTTGGACGACAGGATACCAAAATATGCCGAGTAGATTTCTCCAGGGACACGCAGGTGAATGGGCCTTCAAGGGGTAATGTATGGTCTTTAATACCTTCTTCCTTAAGTTCTACAAAAGAGCATGACTGGAGTCTTGCTACAAGTAATCCTCCAATACTGAAGTTAGCATTCGATTTATATGGCACATAACACATAGATACTACAGGTCCAGAGCCAGCAACTTTTATAGTTCTAACAGGACCTGTGGTAATGCGGGTGTCATATTGAACTACACAGCCTGTTGCTGTACCAACAAAAAATTTATTAGCTTCATCAGCATTCCAGCAACAACTCCATAATGGGGCCTCTGCTGTAAATGATCCTACAGGTGCATTACTGCAAATATTTGTTAGTTTCACCATCTTATCCATTGCAACAGAAAGAAGCAAGTCATTTTTGGCTGGATTAAAAGCCAAATCTCTGATTTGTTTCTGATGAATTGGCACATACCTCTCAGCCTTTAAGTCTAACATATTTACTTTCTTTACACCATATCCAGGAAACATTGCTACCTGGCTTGGCATAGATACCACAAGCATATTCAGCCACTCATTATAAGCCATTACTCTACACCCACCATCCTTATTTATATCAATACCAGCATACATTATCATCTTTACATTTCGTTGGGCACTACTTGCAGCACTCTGAGACAAATTAATTCCATGTGAACCACTAGTACCTGCTGTGGCTTTCTTAAGCACTCTTAGCTCTTCCTGAAGCTTTACCACTAGTTGTGCCTTAAGCTCATATTTAAGTTTGGTCTGGGCATGTTCAAGTTCCAACTTCCTCTTTGCCTCCTTCTCTTTTTCCAAGTCTTTCAATATCCTGTCTCTTTCTGATGTGTCTAGCACTTTGAGAGACTTAGCATACAGTACTCTAATATCTTTCTTTGTGGCCTTTGCATTGCACTGAGGGCACTTGCCTTTTTGGCCCTTCAGCCATCGTATAATACATGCATATCCAAACAAGTGTCCACACTTAAGAGATGATAAACGGTGATCTCCAGAGTTGCTCCATGGTTCAAAACATATTGAACAAATCTGACCTTCATCTTCTGAATCTGGTGAATCTGGTAGTTGTTCAGGGACTGCAAAAGAAAAAAACAAATGATGAAAATAAAAGTGCTATACAACTAGAAAATTTTGATCACCATGCAACTGAGAAACAAGTGCAGGACTTAATCTTATTGTCAAAATTTCTTTCCCTTTTTCTTCCAAAAAAATAACTAAGGCACTGAACATTTTTAAATACAATACAAAAACATCCCCTCTAGCTGTGAGGGAGGTAATGTACTGTAAATAAATGAAATGAACAGATTAGTTACTGGGACATTTTTTTTTTTTAACCAAACAGTTGTCTCCTAATGAGGCAGGATGACCCGAAAAAGAAGAATACGCATTTACCAACATTCATTCAACTGCTGTCTTTCCAGAAGTGTGTTAACATTATAATCAGATTACCCTCCGACTGCAACATCCCCACCCCTCCTTAAGAGTGCTAGCACTGCCCTTCCCACCATCTCAAGTACTGAAGTCTGACTAACTGGTTTCCCTGAATCACTTTATGAAAATTACCTTGCTAACACTCCAACAGCATGTATATTAAAAACCACTTGTCCCAATTTACTCCTATCTAACAAGTTCTCACAAGTCTGCTGGATACTCAAGCTCCTAAGACTCAAAGCTTTCTTTACCTCCTCCCTCCAACCATTCCTGGACAACCCCTACCCCTCTTATCTTCCACCTCAGATTTATACACCCTTTTTATCAACATCTCTCTCTCCATTTTCTATACATGCTCAAACCACCTCAAGAACCCCTTCACAGTATACTCAGAATTATACCACTGTCTTGTTTTTAAATATTACTGTATTGTATTATTATTATTATATTCAGTGGGGAGCACTAAACCCCAAGGGGTCATATAGCACCTAGGGATGTTGGATCAACTGCTCTCCACAAACATGAAAAAATCCAGTATATACAGCTTTCATGGAAGGTTATGAGAGGAGTCACATGATCTCATTGTCTACCCCTCCTCATCCCATCATGGCATTCTTCAAGTCACCATGCGCCACTCACACCTCACTCTCCGCCTATATATAATGTCTTTCTACCTCTGTATGTCAGAAGTGATCAAGGTTCCAGGACCGAAATGTTGTCTAATAAATGTCATAGTGTCTGCTTACATGACTTTCTAAACCAACTTGTCGGTATTTATTATCAAGGTTTATACCGCAAGTTAAATGTGCCATAAAAGGCGTGTCATAGAGGGAAGAATAAGACGAGATAAAACAGCCTTGTATCATGCTAAAACGGTCTCTTTTTATGTTTTTAAGGGCAAATTCTTAAGCGCATCAAAAATAGTTAAAATGGAGTAATTTTTTTGGTAACGTTTAGTTATTTTCGTAATTTATGTTTTTTCTTAATTTTTAGTTATTTCTCGTAATTATTAGTCATTTTTCTTTATTTCTGATAACTCGGTTATTTTTTGTAATTTTGAGTTATTTTTCATGATTTTGAGTTATTTTCCATAATGAAGAGTCCTAATGAAAATATCAGCTTCCTCTATTAGGCATTACACTGGGAAAGGAGGACTTCGTATGATGCTAGGAGGCAATCAGGTTCAATCCAAGGGAGGATAGGTCCAATTATTTGGAGTTGCCCTTGCCCTTCAGTAGTATCAAGACTACTGTAAAACATATTTCCAAGGAAATCTTGTATATTACAGTGGTTTCAAGGTGTAATACTGATTGAAACATGGAAGTAAGTCATACTGTATGACTGTATTGTATTGTTTGGCCGAGTTCCACTGTTAGTACAGTGGACCCTCGACCAACGATGGCATCGATTAATGATAAATCTGACTAGCGATACATTTTAATGCAAAAATTTTGCCTCGACTAGCGCTTAAAAACCCGACCAGCACTATTTGTTCCGTACCATACGCGTCCACTTTGGCCTGAGCGCGCCTCACTTGTCCCTTGGGTGCCAGTGTTTACAAGCCAGCCAGCCACCATGGTTGCTTCCAAACATACAACTGGAACATTTCATATTATCACAGCCTTTGTAGTGATTGCACCTGCAAAATAAGTCACCACGGGCCCCAAGAAAGCTTCTAGTGCCAACCCTACAGCAAAAAGGGTGAGAATTATTATGGGGATGAAGAAAGAGATCATTGATAAGTATGAAAGTGGAGTGCGTATCTCTGAGATGGTCAGGTTGTATAATAAACCCCAATCAACCATCGCTACTATTGTGGGCAAAAAAAACGGCAATCAAGGAAGCTGTTCCTGCCAAAGGTGCAACTATGTTTTCGAAACTGAGATCGCAAGTGATAGAAGATGTTGAGAGACTTTTATTGGTGTGGATAAACGAGAAACAGATAGCAGGAGACAGCATCTCTCAAGCGATCATATGTGAAAAGGCTAGGAAGTTGCATGGCGATTTAATTAGAAAAATGCCAGCAACTAGTGATGTGAGTGAATTTAAGGCCAGCAAAGGTTGGTTTGAGAGATTTAAGAAGCATAGTGGCATACATAGTGTGATAAGGCATGGTGAGGCTGCCAGTTCGGACCACAAATCGGCTGAAAAATATGTGTAGGACTTCAAGGAGTACATAGACAGTGAAGGACTGAAACCTGAACAAGTGTTTAATTGTGACGAAACAGGCCGGTTTTGGAAGAAAATGCCAAGCAGGATGTACATTACTCAGGAGGAAAAGGCACTCCCAGGACATAAGCCTATGAAAGACAGGCTTACTCTGTTGATGTGTGCCAATGCTAGTGGTGATTGCAAAAAAGTGAAGCCTTTATTGGTGTATCACTCTGAAACTCCCAGAGTGTTCAGGAAAAACAATGTCCTCAAGGCTAATTTGTGTGTGCTGTGGAGGGCAAACAGTAAGGCATGGGTCACTAGGGACTTTTTCTATGACTGGTTACATCATGCATTTGCCCCCAATGTGAAAAATTAACTTATTGAAAAGAAATTAGACCTTAAGTGCCTCCTGGTATTAGACAATGCTCCTGGTCATCCTTCAGACTTGGCAGAGCGACTTTCTAGGGACATGAGCTTCATTAAGGTGAAGTTTTTGCCTCCTAATACCACTCCTCTCCTGCAGCCCATGGACCAGCAGGTTATTTCCAACTTCAAGAAACTGTACACAAAAGCTATGTTTGAAAGGTGCTTTGTAGTGACCTCAGAAACTCAACTGACTCTAAGAGAGTTTTGGAAAGATCATTTTACCATCTCAATTGTGTAAACATTATAGGTAAGGCTTGGGAGGAAGTGACTAAGGGGACATTGACTCTGCTTGGAAAAAACTGTGGCCAGATGTGTAGACAAAGGATTTTGAGGTTGGGCTACCCTGAGAACTATGCCATTGAGGAATCCTTGTGGCATGGGGAAGTCCTTGGGTTGAGGTTAGTGGGAAGGATGTGGAAGAGTTTGAGTGGTGGAGGACGTGAGAACTAGACCATGAGATGATGTGCATGGAGATCATCTTGGGAGGGAGATGGGAGGATGTGGAGAGGGGGGAGGATAGTGAAGAACAGACATGTGAGCGCTAGATTCATATAAGCGACATGATGCAGTCCTGAGGAAACTGTTTGGAGGTGTGACAAGATATGAAGAAGCTTGCTACTTCTAAGAAGGTGTATGCGTGCTGATGAAACCTTTTGATGAAATCACCTCACAGCTACTGCAAGCCGTGCTGGTGACTATTACACTGACAATGTTGTGAACCACTTTAGGAAAGTCAAAAAGGAACGAGAGGTACAGGCCTCTATGGACAGATATGTTGTGCGACAGAAGTCAGTGACTCTGAAGCTGGTCCTAGTGGCATTAAAAGACAAGGGAAGTAACCCCAGAAAAAGACTTGCTGCCTCAGTGCTAATGGAAGGGGATTCCCCTTCTAAACACTAACACCTCTCCCCTCCTCCCATCCCATCAATCATCACCAGATCTTCAATAAAGGTAAGTGTCATGTAATTGTGCATGTAATCTTCAGTTTGTGTGTATTAAAATTAATATTTCATGTGGTAAAAAATTTTTTTTTTCAATACTTTTGGGTGTCTTGTACGGATTAATTTGATTTCCATTATTTCTTATGGGGAAAATAAATTCGACTAACGATAATTCTGACTAACGATGAGCTCTCAGGAACGGATTAATATCGCTGGTTGAGGGTCCACTGTATTATGTAATTATAATAAATCAGGAATGAATAAGACATCTTGCTGTTAGTTCCACACCCAGTTTGCTAGTGGGAAACTGGTGGTGGAACAGGTGCTGGTTTCATTGTTTGCTTATGCTAGTCCAGCAGCATTACCCGTGATGCATTGTGTGCACTCTCCTAGTCGTAGATTTTTTTCCAAAGGTATGAGAAGGCTGTAGGAGATTAAAACAGCTGTGCTGAGGTAAAAATAAATATTGGCAAGTGGGGTATTTAAAGCCACAAAATAGTTGTGTGTACTAGTATACTGGACATAAGTCCTCACCTACATACTAGTATGTTAGACATGGTTTAAGGGTTAAAAAGGAAGGGAACAGCTAGTGAGAGGACATGCACAGTGTCTATGTATTACTACCACTTAGGTGAAAAAGTGATAAAACTCATAGGTGTAATACAGCACTTTCGCAATGAGAGGTAATCATGTTTTATCTACAGAAAAGAAGGGTAGTTCCAGCTCCATGGAACAAGAACTCTTCACCAGCATCAATGCATCTCCTTGTAGAGTAGCAATATTCACAGAAAAATTTAAAAGGTTTTAGGCCTTCACCTGGTGATCAATGTACTAAGAAGATATTACTAAAATGACTCCTTGAGGAAGTAGATAAGAATCTTTCCTCCATAAGCCATGCATGTCATGAAAGGCTGCTAAAATACCAGGATGAAGGGGCTAGTAACTCTTTCTCCTTTATAAATTACTACATGTAAAAAGAAAAACTTGCACTTTTCTTTTTAGGTCACCCTGCCTTAGTGGGAGATGGCTAGTGTATGGAAGAAAAAATTACTAAAATGTGCATACAAAATTTTCACTGGTGTCAATATTTCCTAATAAATATTTGAAGAAATGCAATTAGTGTATAGGAAAACTAAAATATGCCATGCTAAGAGGTGTAAATTAGTGTGTTAGTAGCAGTACAATACCTGGATTAATTTTCTTTGGAGTGACACCACAAGATGGACCTGCTTCAGTGTTTGATTCTCTGATTATGGGAGGATCCAGTGGCTGTCCCACCTCTGCTGTATGGGTAGTCCGAGAGTGCTCAACTTGAGGTACTGGGGAAACTGGGAGCTGTTGTTCTGGCAAGGGATCTAGTGAAGGAGGTGGTGGTGCATTGTTTGGTGGAGTCTCATGTAGCTCCAACACTTGTGGCTCATATGCAATTACAGGTGGCTGCTCTTCTATAATCATATTTGGCCCTTCAAGCTGTAAATATTTGAAAATAATAATTCAAACAAATCCAGATAGCAGCCTAAACAAATCTGAAACTATTATGTTTATGGAAAGCAATAAAGTCACAAGGAAATTTGGTATTAATCCTAGTATTTTACTCAGCCTATTATGATACCCTTCATGTTTGTAACATTCAATGAATATTGATATGTTTGCATCCACTTCCATCTCTATTTCCTCCATGTAGAGCAGGAGTTTGGAAACCAAAGGTCACAACCCAAAATATAATGGAAAGAATTTGAGCAAGTGTGTTTATAAATGTTTCAAATGTATTTTTTATCATGGTGCAATAAATCTACAGTGAGGTGCTGAGTAGGTATAAGTATCATTTCAGTTGCAAGGAGAATGTGATTTCAAATTTTGAGTTGTAGACAAAATTGTTAGGGAACCACCGATATAGAATACGGGTTTGATGTAGAGGCATCTTATTTACATCATGATCATCTCAAAATGCAGCAACTTTCACTCTAATTTTTGCTTTGTACTATTTAACACTGACAAAAACTCCACACCGTATGGGTCAGTAGGCCTGTTGCAGTGTTCCTTCTTTCTTATGTTCTTATGACTCCAACTGAGGCTCTCAATTGGAGACATAAATATTAATATCATTATATTTACACAACACATCACCCACTTAAAGTGATGGAAACTGATGAAACTAAATCAGAAGAAAACAATAACAGTAGCCACAAATTCAACTGCAAGACCTACATGAGAAAAAAAAAGGAATTAATTTAAAACACTAACCTCCTCTGAATCTTCAAGATTCACTACATCTATCTGATGTCTCATTCCTTGTTGCTCCACAGTTCTTATTGGATGGTGATGTGTTCTTTCACTGTCTTGTGTTCTTCTTTCTCCTAATATGGGGCTCCTTGTCCTATCCTATGAATATATACATGAAAGAACTTGAAGTTAACAAGCAAAACACAGTGTCTTTGAGTGCTAGTGTTCAAGCTTGATGCTGCAGTATTATATTTGCACTATGAGAAATTTTAATCTTCACAAATATCAGTGACACAGAGACATTACATGTTAAAACCAAAAGATCATCATTAACAGTTTCAAACATTTCAGAATTTTGATGTATGAAATATTTTTTTATTTATTATCACACTGGCCGATTCCCACCAAGGCAGGGTGGCCCAAAAAAGAAAAACTTTCACCATCATTCACATCCATCACTGTCTTGCCAGAAGGGTGCTTTACACTACAGTTTTTAAAACTGCAGCATTAACACCCCTCTTTCAGAGTGCAGGCACTGTACTTCCCATCTCCAGGACTCAAGTCCGGCCTGCCGGTTTCCCTGAACCCCTTCATAAATGTTACTTTGCTCACACTCCAAACAGCACGTCAAGTTTTAAAAAAACCATTCGTCTCCATTCACTCCTATCAAACATGCTCACGCACGCCGCTGGAAGTCCAAGCCCCTCGCACACAAAACCTCCTTTACCCCCTCCCTCCAACCTTTCCTAGGCCGACCCCTACCCCGCCTTCCTTCCACTACAGACTGATACACTCTTGAAGTCATTCTGTTTCGCTCCATTCTCTCTACATGTCCGAACCACCTCAACAACCCTTCCTCAGCCCTCTGGACAACAGTTTTGGTAATCCCGCACCTCCTCCTAACTTCCAAACTACGAATTCTCTGCATTATATTCACACCACACATTGCCCTCAGACATGACATCTCCACTGCCTCCAGCCTTCTCCTCGCTGCAACATTCATCACCCATGCTTCACACCATTAAGAGTGTTGGTAAAACTATACTCTCATACATTCCCCTCTTTGCCTCCAAGGACAAAGTTCTTTGTCTCCACAGACTCCTAAGTGCACCACTCACCCTTTTCCCCTCATCAATTCTATGATTCACCTCATCCTTCATAGACCCATCCGCTGACACGTTCCACTCCCAAATATCTGAATACATTCACCTCCTCCAACTCTCTCCCTCCAATCTGATATCCAATCTTTCATCACCTAATCTTTTTGTTATCCTCATAACCTTACTCTTTCCTGTATTCACTTTTAATTTTCTTCTTTTGCACACCCTACCAAATTCATCCACCAATCTCTGCAACTTCTCTTCAGAATCTCCAAGAGCACAGTTCATCAGCAAAGAGCAACTGTGACAACTCCCACTTTATGTGTGATTCTTTATCTTTTAACTCCACGCCTCTTGTCAAGACCCCTCGCATTTACTTCTCTTACAACCCCATCTATAAATATATATTAAACAACCACGGTGACATCACACATCTTTGTCTAAGGCCTTTACTTTTACTGGGAAATAATTTCCCTTTTTTCCTAGTACTCTAACTTGAGCCTCACTATCCTCGTAAAAACTCTTCACTGCTTTCAGTAACCTACCTCCTACACCATACACCTGCAACATCTGCTCACATTGCCCCCCTATCCACCCTGTCATATGCCTTTTCCAAATCCATAAATGCCACAAAGACCTCTTTAGCCTTATCTAAATACTGTTCACTTATATGTTTCAGTGTAAACACCTGGTCCACACACACCCTACCTTTCCTAAAGCCTCCTTGTTCATTTGCTATCTTATTCTCAGTCTTACTTTTAATTCTTTCAATAATAACTCTACCATGTGGAAAAAGACACTCATGTACAGTTCAAGACATTTATTAAAGGAAACGTTTCGCCACGAGTGGCTTCTTCAATCCTAATACAGAGAAAACTAAGAAAACATTTATATATATAGTGGCAGGAGTCAGGTGAGGTGACGCGTGGGTAGAGGTGGTGGTGGTGGTAGTGGTGGTGGTAGTGGTGGTGGTGTGGTAGTGGTGGTGGTAGTGGTGGTGGTTAGTGGTGGTGGTGGTGGTAGTGGTGGTGGGTAGTGGTGGTGGTAGTGGTAGTGGTAGTAGTAGTATTTGTAGTAGTAGTAGTAGTAGTAGTAGTAGTAGTAGTATAGTAGTAGTAGTAGTAGTAGTAGTAGTAGTAGTAAGTAGTAGTATGTAGTAGTAGTAGTAGTAGTAGTAGTAGTAGTAGTAGTATAGTAGTAGTAGTAGTAGTAGTAGTAGTATAGTATAAGTAGTAGTAGTATAGTAGTAGTAGTAGTAGTAGTAGTAGTAGAGTAGTAAGTAGTAGTATAGTAATGGAACTAGGAGGTGAGGCAAGAGAGGGACCTGCTGGCATCAAGTAACACCAGTTCCCAGGATGGGTAATATCCTCTTGCTTAGTAATTTTGAAATACTGTAACTACCGGATTTTTGCTTTATAGTGTTACTGACAGAAATTAGTGCAGCAAGAGGATATTACCCATCCTGGGAACTGGTGTTACTTGATGCCAGCAGGTCCCTCTCTTGCCTCACCTCCTTAGTTCCATTACTACTATTACTACTACTACCACCTCTACCCACGCGTCACCTCACCTGACTCCTGCCACTATATATATAAATGTTTTCTTAGTTTTCTCTGTATTAGGACTGAAGAAGCCACTCGTGGCGAAACGTTTCCTTTAATAAATGTCCTGAACTGTACATAAGTGTCTTTTTCCACATCTTGTCGGTATCACCATACCATTTCCTCATAACTCTACCATACACTTTACCAGGTATACTCAACAGACTTATCCCCCTATAATTTTTGCACTCTTTTGTCCCCTTTGCCTTTATACAAAGGAACTATGCATGCTCTCTGCCAATCCCTAGGTACCTTACCCTCTTCCATACATTTATTAAATAATTGCACCAACCACTCCAAAACTATATCCTCACCTGCTTTTAACATTTCTATCTTTATCCCATCAATCCCGGCTGCCTTACCCCCTTTCATTTTACCTACTGCCTCAGGAACTTCCCCCACACTCACAACTGGCTCTTCCTCACTCCTACAAGATGTTATTCCTCCTTGCCCTATACACGAAATCACAGCTTCCCTATCTTCATCAACATTTAACAATTCCTCAAAATATTCCCTCCATCTTCCCAATACCTCTAACTCTCCATTTAATAACTCTCCTCTCCTATTTTTAACTGACAAATCCATTTGTTCTCTAGGCTTCCTTAACTTGTTAATCTCACTCCAAAACTTTTTCTTATTTTCAACAAAATTTGTTGATAACATCTCACCCACTCTCTCATTTGCTCTCTTTTTACATTGCTTCAACCACTCTCTTAACCTCTCTCCTTTTTCTCCATATACTCTTCCCTCCTTGCATCACTTCTACTTTGTAAAAACTTCTCATATGCTAACTTTTTCTCCCTTACTACTCTCTTTACATCATCATTCCACCAATCGCTCCTCTTCCCTCCCGCACCCACTTTCCTGTAACCACAAACTTCTGCTGAACACTCTACACTACATTTTTAAACCTACCCCATACCTCTTCGACCCCATTGCCTATGCTCTCAGATGATTGTGTATACATAAATGTATACATGTATGTGTACTGTGACCTAAGTGTAAGCAGAAGTAGCAAGACGTACCTGAAATCTTGCATGTTTATGAGACAGAAAAAAGACACCAGCAATCCTATCATCATGTAAAGCAATTACAGGCTTCAGTCTTACATTCACTTGGCAAGACGGTAGTAACTCCCCGGGCGGCTGCTGTCTACCAGCCTACTACTACTATCTGAATACTACTGTCTACCAACCTACTACTATCTGAATATCTACAGTAAATTTCATGTTTTCAAAGAAAAAGCTAGTACTATACTGTATATTCATATACCCCTTATTCTTATTCAAAAATATCTCACTGAGAATGTCTAAATTATTAATATTTCTGAATAATGGAAATAAAGATCTCTAATTCAGAACCTATTCCAATTTCATATTAAAATTTTATTGCTCTTATTTTAAAAAAAATCTAATTTTTGGTGCTATTCAAGCTTTCCGGTTTTCTCCATACATTAGCTCTTATTCTGAAAACTCTACGTCAATATGTGACTACAATCATCTGTTGCTTATCTGTTTCTGTTTACTTGAATCACACACATTCCTCAAGTACATCCTATATACGGCCTGAACTCTTGATACAGTACCTGTTCCATTCTGTTCACAAAGAAAGTTTTCCATCCTTTTCTTAATTAAGTCTAAGGCCATATGTTCAATTTTGCTAATTACCTATGATTAACTGCTAGTCTCCACTGTAGTTTCTATATATATTTTTTCACTGAACATAATGAAAAGAACTCATTAGCTTTTGGTATTGATTTTCATTCTCTGTCAATACTAAACCACCAGCAAAAAGCATTCTTTTCATCTACTCTTAGTACAACGTCCAAATTTTTACCAATGCTTTTTAATGAATTATAGAATGACTAGTGCATCTCACACCTGGACCTTATACACTGACTAGTTTTCAAGACACTTTTGATTACTATTACAGCAAATATTTACTTTTAATATTATAGAAACTACATACCAACAAGCAAATAATTTCTATATGGAACCCACTCCAAAAACACTTAAGAAATCAATACAGTTCTAAACAACTCATACTAACACCTTCCTGCTCAGCAGCTTGAAGTCTATAAGGCCGCACATCACTGTCATCATCAAAATCTCCATCTGAAAAACATCATCCAATTAAACATACATTTGTGCTGCTACAGAGAAAACATATTCTGACAGTTATACAGTACATGGACTGACTGATTTCTTAGGTTTAAAACCTATGTTCAGAGTAGTGTTCTGTCTGATTTCTCAAAAAACCCGAGTATTACTATTATAAGTCTTTTGATTTTTGACCAAGAAAGGAATGCAATGTGATCATGGAAAATAAAATGTGACTCAGAATATATTTATAGACCTGATGTTAGGTAGGCAAATGTCCCATTTAAGCTTCTTAAATAAAGTCATTTATAAACTCTACTGATACAGAACTCAATTACTACATAGAGTACATCCCACAGATGAAAATTAGTAATGTATCATTATTTAATTTTCAAAGTTAAACATAAGAGAGCCACACCAATACACTCAAAGAAAATAACTGAAATTATCTTACCCTCTTGCTCATTATTCATCTCTGTAGACATGTCTGTAACATCTGAATCAATTTCCTCATCTTCCATCTCATCTGTATCTGACAAATTACTGCCTTCTCTGTTGTTTATATTGTCTACTGTCCAGGGTGCTTGTCTTGCCATCAGTTTGATTCAGGTGTCTGTCAGGAAAAGCAAAATATTGGCAAAAAATTGCCAATATAAACAGTTTTCTATTACTATTGTAACTCTTATGTTAACTTTTGTTTTTATTAAAATAGTTTTATTATTCAATAAAGTCATTAGATTTTATAAGCTTATTTTCATGTAACTTAATTATATTAAACTTTGCTTGTAAATAATCTAACTTCAACCATACAGTGTTAAGTAGTTTAACCCTTTGACTTTCGCAACCCCCAATCCTGAGGTCTCTCTCCTGGTGTCGCAAAATTTAACCCCTTGCATGTCGCAACCCCCAATCCTGAGGTGTCTCCTTTGGTGTCGCAAAATTTCCCCCCCCCCCAAAAAAAAATTATTTTTTCTTATGAAATGATAAGAGAATCTTTTCCCGATTGTAATGACACCAAAAAAAACGAAATTTGATGGAAAACTGACGGAATTACGCTCTCGCGAAGTTAGCGACCTTGGCGATATTTACAAATCGGCGATTTCGCCCACTTTGAGCCCTATTTTCAGCTAATTCCATTCTTCCAGTCGACCAAACTCATAGCTATTTCTTTAGAACTCTATTTTTTCTATCGATTGAGTACAAGAAACTCCAGATTTACCAATTTCAACTACCCAATAACATGGTCAGAAATTTGCAATTTGGCCAATTTCACGATAATTAAAAAATATGACAATTTCAAAATAAGGTCCAGAATGAACAATGCAGACATTCCTGGCTCTAAAATAACATTTTCTTTGTTTATCAGTCATGTCTCCAGGCCCCTCTGATATTACTCTTGCTTTCTATTTTGAATTTTTATTCAAACAAAAAATAGAAGATTTACTATTATGCAGACTACTCCAATACTGTAATTGTATAAATAACATCAACCCATTCATGACTGCATATTAGAATGGCTAGTTGGACATTTATTGGACAATGATGTCATTTGTTTGTTTTTGAACATCGGCAAAAATCAAACATTTCCCCTACTTTGAGCTCCATTTCCAGGTTCTTTTTATAGTAAAATCTGTCAAAATCATCTCTTTTTCTATAATATGTTTTCCATTCTATCAAAGGAGACCAAGAAAACAAGAATACAACCATAAATAATATACGAAAATAGACCACAAAGTCGGCATTTTAATTAAAAAAAAAAAACGGTCGTAGTTTTTTTTTCCCCATTATGCACTGCGTGCTCCAGGATTTTTTTTATATGGTGCACACTGACCACACAGACCCATTCTCTCACATGTGGGCCTACCAACTTTCTCCTGCTTGATTTGAAGCCGCTAGAATTTATGAGTATATATACGTCAAACACGGTACCTCGTAAGACGTATATATACGGCCGCGACAGTCAAAGGGTTAAAATCCTTGTCCGCCTAAAATGCTCTGCATGAGTAGGGACTTTCCAAAATGAATGAAATCAATTTTATCTGATTTTACAACAATTATGTACATTTTGAAATAAAATTTGTTTGTTTACATATTACAATAAGGGTCTTTTAGAAACTACTATGCGAGTAAGTCAAAAACAGCCAATATTTTTCTAAATCACAGAGAAATTACGTTTTAGGTAGCAATGGAACTCACAGCTGGTAATGCTCAGCAAATGATCTCAAGTAACATGATTCCCTCCAGTCTATCACAGTTTTAGGCCATGACTCAGTGTTGGTTGTCCCTGCTTTTGGGCAAATTCTCAACACAACTGTAGAAAATAAAATGAATGGAGTTAGCTTAGTTATTACTATGAATTCCATCAAAACATAAAAAAATTGAAATAGTCAACCCTTCAATTTAATATACTAATAGGGGAGAGCAGATGACCAGTAATGGCAACTGCAATGGTCAGTGACCCAGCAAATCTTGTCCTGCATGTCTGAAATCTGTTAAATCAAGCATTCACTGTACATATTGGTGCAGCATGAAGAATCATGCATGGTGTAATTTCATCATAAGAAAAATTTTATTGAAATCTGATATGAAACATTATTAACCCAGTCTGCTTCTCCAATTATAACATGGTGTCTATGGGAAAAAGAGATTTGCTTAACAAAATTTTTGATATACGAACTATCTCTATCATATTATAAATGGTATACAATACAGACAAGTTGATGAATAAGACAAGCGTAACAGTCAATAAAAATTGCCTGCCCAGCAGGTTTCTTCAGTCAAATACAGGTGAATTTAATACTGAACACAGTAAAAGTAGAAAAGTAATTTGAGGTGATCAGTTCCTCAGTGTTGACAGGAGGAGGAGGAGGAGGAGGAGGAGGAGGAGGAGGAGGAGGAGGTGGTGGTCAGTCCCTTAGCCTGTTTGACTGAAGGAGTTTCCTGCAGAGACAAAATGTTTCAACAATAAAGATACCTAAATGCTGCACATGTGTCTTACTTATCAAATCATTTCTTGTCACTATATCCATTAATTGGAGGCCAACTGTACTGTGTTTCACTAGTAGAGAGAGGAGATTTTTGAAATGATGCTAAAATGTGAAATCTGCTAAATATAAGCATTTTGAAAATGCTATGCACATGTGGCTTACCCAACAATGCATAGATGTGTGGGTACAAAGCAAGGAATTTGGGCTATAGAAATTTACTAACAACACAAAATATCCTGGATAAGAACCTGAAGACCACAATGAAAATAAGCCACATTGTTGAACTTTTTCTACAGAGGAAATGTTTGGAGAATTATGAACAAGTGGATGAAGCACCATCAGACTACTATTATTATTACTATTATTATTATTATTTGTTATTACATTAATTGGGGAAGTACTAAACCCTCAGAGATCATACAGCACCTGGGAGACTGGGAGGCAATCAGGCTCAATCCAAGGTAGTGAAAATTAGGCCCAACACCTAGGATCGAACCTCTCACCAGCATCAAGGAACCTCCCTGGACGAGAGCACAATCCTCATACTGACGGATTTTGTGTACCTGTACAGTATCCTGTAATAATTTTCCAATACTTTTACTAAACTCATAAACTAAAACAACTCCACAACTATTTACTATTTTTGTATTAAGGAATTTTAGACCTATTTTAAGTCTGCCCGAAATGCAAATCACATTATGGACCTTTCACAGAAATTATATTACTTTTATTTATTTATTTTTTCAAATAAAACAAATATTTTTAAAAATTATTTTAATTTTTTACAAGGTTTGCATTCATCACACAATTATCATACACTGTACATTGGTAATAAATTATGACATCCCTAGAATAACGCGACAAAGCCCAAATAACATTATTTTTTTTACTTAAAGAAAATTGAAGGAACCGTAACCGCAGCATAACAAAAAGGAAAATTACCACGACAAGCAATTTAAAATACATAGCTGCAATACGTAATTGCCACTGCCCGAAATGCCTCGGCATGATAGTGGATTTCTTTGTTCCAATCAAATTATAAAATGTAAACACACATTGTAACCTTAGCAAAGAAATAAAGTTTTGTTTTGTTTTTTGTACAAGACCAGTAGACTATGTACTGTGGGAAAGTATATTATTCAGTGTTTTCCAAGCAGCATATTATTTACAGGAACATTATTTAAAATATGCTGTGGTATTATTATTAAATCTGAAGATTGAGTAATTTCCCATTGAGACTTAATTTGACTATTTTTAATATATCAAGAAACATGGCATTACATAATATTCACAGGGAAGCACTAAAACCATTAGGGTATTAGGACCCCCAATGAAAATAAGTCACTTAGTCTAATTTTTTGGGGGTTATCCTATGTAATTTACACTAGGTACAACAACTGTACTTAAGTATACCTGTACCTAAATAGAGTTACTTAACCCTTAAACTGTCCAAACGTAGATCTACATTTTTTCAACATTTGAAAGCATGTAAAAAAGTAGATCTTTATTTTTTTTTACACTTGAAAATGTGTAAGAAAACTTTGATCTACTTTTTTTTTTGTTATATTTGAAAATATGTAAAAAAACGTAGATCTACTTTTGGAGCACTACGCATATGAACGTAGATCTGCTTGGACAGTTTAAGGGTTAAGGGTCACAGAGCACTTGTGGAGTGGGAGTAAGTTTATTTAGGCACAGGTACACATGAAGTACAATTATCATATATAGTGTAAATTGCCTAGGATAACCCAAGAAAGTCAAAGATTATCAGGTTTGATCCAAGGAGGGGAAAGATAGTTCCGATTCCTTGACAGAAAAGCCCCATATTAGCATCTGAACAAAATCTTATCTCTTAACACCCTCCCTGAAGGGACTATACAAGACATTCTCCACATTTCTTCAACAAATAAACTTTCATTTAAGCTCAGAGTATATAGCATACAAAAAGATTAATTGATCTTGAGGGCATGTAGATGTAATGGATACACAAAGAGTGCATTATGAAGACTTAACATAAAATAAACAATTATCATAAACAATTTAGCTTATTCCTGCCTCTAAATACATAAAATTGTTAGACTATAAAAACAATACAGTATTATAATTAAAGGGACGTGCTAAATGCATCTAAGTCACACAGCTTGGGATATGAAAGGCAACTGTAAACAATTCAAGACCTGAAATGCACCACATGCTAATGGCTTTCTTTTGTGCTTATGAGAGAGAAGATTTTAATACTACATTACCTGTATGCTGTAGAAGGAAAGAATTTATTTGTATTTTGTAAGGAAGTGGAAAAAAACAGTTTCAGTTCCTTAGATCAAGAGCTCCTCATCAAAAGGACCCCAATGGAAATAAGTCACTTTTTCTATTTTGGGTCATCCTAGATAATTTACACTATGTATGATAATTGTACTTATGTTTACCTATACCTAAATAAACTTATTAATGTGAATTAATTTATTATAAATTATCATTACCAATTGTTATAAATTTTTATAAATTGTTATCAATTGTTATAAACTGTACTCTGCGAGTACAGTTTATAACAATTTGCAGCATTTATTTATTTATTTATTTATTTAATTATTTTATGTCTTTGCAAACAGTACACTGAGATTTTGTATTTACAATAGTGGGTTGCAATGCAAAGAGCCTCTATTATGCCTAGGCATTATGGGCCAACTTAACATTATTGGCTTACAGTCTACTTAATACTAAGGAGTATATCATAGTTATACAGTAGGATAGTAATTATTTCATAGTTGTACAGTAGAATATTAATTATAAATGAATCAAAATTTGTATAATACAAAGATATATTTATATTTGAAAATGCTTTTTTTGAAAACACTGATTCAATTATATTCCTGTCAACAATGGATAAAAGGTTCAAAGTGATTGTTTCAGTTATGATGTGGGAGCACATAGGTGAGTAAGTGTGTACTGAGTATTTAGCATTTAGTCTAGGGTGAGTAAGTTGCTTTTGAGAAGAGTCTTAAATTGCTTTTCAGACTGGGTTACTTTAATATCTTCTGGTAATGAATTCCATATTTTGGAGCCCTTTACGTGCATAGAGTTTTTACACAGTGTGATATGGACACGAGGTATATCAAAAAGAGATCTGTGTCTTGTGTTGTGGTCATGTGTCCTGTTTAGGTTGGTGAGAAGTTTGAGTGGAGGGTTTATATTTGTGTGAATTGTTCTGTGTATGTAGTAGGCACATGAATAAGTATGGATGTTCTTAATGGTGAGCAGATTCAGACTTTTGAAAATTGGTGGAGTATGCTGGCAGGAGTGGGAATTTGTTATCATTCTTACTGCTGCCTTTTGCTGGGTTATTAGGAATTTTAGGTGATTGGATGTTGTTGGTCCCCATGCACAAATTCCATATGTAAGATTAGGGTATATGAGTGAATGGTACAGTGCCAGGAGAGCTGATTGTGGAACTTTGGTACCTTGATAGTATCCCCTCAGCCCTTGGAGTTTTTTCTTGGGGGATTTGTTGTATGTTGCCCGGAACTTAAGGCTACTGTCAAGGTGGATACCTGGGAAATTTTTCCCCTTTGTGATTTTTGTGATGATGTTTTCATTTAGCATTATTTTAAATTTGGATCATTTGCATGATGGTTAAATTCATTACAAATTATTAATTTAAGAGGAAGCTAAACCCTTATGTGCCATAAATTGGGCCCGGAGAATGAGAAAAAGGGAACCAAGTTCAATCTGAGGGTGGTGAGGGGCAAATCCGTTTCCTCTTATCAAAAGCCCTTGACCAGCATTTAAGGGGCCACCTTTGGGAAGGGGCAGTGCAAGCTGCAAAAATTTTAAATTTTAAATATTTCCTTTCCCAAAATTTTTCAGTTTTTAGCCTTGGGAAAGTGTTTAAAATTTTTACCCTTTTTTTTTGTATAATTAAATTCATATCATCGCAAAAATTAAAATCATTTATATTCCAGTTTAAAAAAGCCCTCACGATAAATTTTTATTACTAAAAATTCAAATCTTAAACGCTAAACCCCCAAGGGGTCAGCATCATGAAAAATGACCCAATAAAAAAATCTTTTAAAAAGAATCAAAATAACCAGGATTTAATTTTTTTTTTTGGAATTTAAAAAACCTCATCGGGGAATATTTAACAACATTTTCCTTTGGGGGGCCACACCAAATTTAAAAGACTAATTTTTTTTACACTCAATAAACCCTGTGTCCCCTTTATTTTTTTTATTTTAGGAGAAAAAAAATAAAGGTGTTTTCTTACTAAATTTCGTCTACTTCCCGCGTCGGTTGACACTGCTGGGGCCGCGACAACAAACCTACACTTATTTAATTTTTCCCCGTGGGGGGAAACCCAAAACCCGTAAGGGGTCATTTCAGCGCCTTGGGGGGGGGGGGGGGGAAAGGTAGGCAATCAGATTGGGTCCAGAAGGGAAAAGGGGGGGGTAACTCCAAGGGCTTTGGATTCGAGGAAACGCTTCAAGGGTGTCAAGGGCACCCCCTTTAAGGACCCCCAATAACAATCACTAAAGACCTTTTTTGGGGTTTCTTGGGAATTTTAAATAGGGTTTTATAATTGTACTTACGTTACCTTGTGAATAATTTTTTAACTATAATAAAAATTATAGTAATATAATTAAAAGGGGGGTGCTAAAAAAGCATCTTTTCCTTCCTAAATTTAACGCCTCTCTGGGACGAGCCTTCCCGTAACACCCAAACACCCCCAAAAGGCTAAAATTCTAAAAAGGGGTTTTGAATTCCTGAAACCCCGAAGCCTTTGCCCCCATAAATTTCCTTCCCTTAAACCCCTTTGGGGGGGGGAAGGGGAAAAGGGGGAAGAGGGGGGGCCCAGTTGGGGGGGCCGG